GGAGAGGAGAGGAGGGAAGGGAAGGGGAGAAGACACTTTGAGACGGTGGAAGAACAACAAAGCAGGGCATTCTTTTTACTACACTAAGACCTTTTTTACGACTGAACATGGTCGCTGGTGGCTGTCAGGTACGTCCTGCAGAGTCAGCGGTGATGGCTGCTTAGCTTACCAAGCCGATCTGCGCTCTAGCGACTGAAGAAGTGAACGCCATGGCTGCCTCTCGATTGAACCTGTCACACAGCTATGGCTACGTTATGGCTATGGCTGTCCGACCGCAGACGTCGGCGTAGCGGAGATGGCGGCGGAGCTGCGACGGCGGCGGGAGATAACGGCCGGCGACAACTTCAGTTCTCTGTGGGAGGGGCCAAGACCAAAAAAATACCCCTTTCTCCGCGGGACCGAAATTCCACGCAGGGCTTCAGTTCTCCCTGGGAGGCGCCAAGAGGAAAAAAATACCCCTTTCTCCGCGGCACCGAAATTCCACCCCTCCCGGCGTGGCCCCAAAATTCCACCCCTCCCTGCGCGGGCCCAAAATTTTGCGCGGCCGTTCCGACAAGGAGAGATATGGGGAGCAGCATATCTCTAAGGGCGAGATCCCACTGGCAAAGAGGTGTCGGAACGTGGACGTGTTTGGGGACAGGTGCTACAAATTTTGAGTGATCTGCTTTTCTGCACCTCTGCGTGGAACACGTCCAGATTCAGACACTTCTTCCAATCCGCTTTGCCAGTGAGATCTGGCCCTAATACGACAAGGAAAGATACGTGTGCTTCGCGTCGCCCTCCGCCTGGGGGACGAGGTCCCACTAGAAAAGAGGATTGGATTTACTGACTGAATCTGGACTTCGATGTGGGAAGGAGCAGAAAATCGCGATTGATCTGCTTTTTTCCGTTAAACGTGTTCCAGATTCAGGTGCTTAGTCCCATCCTCTTCGCTACCGGTAGTGGGGCCTCGCCCCCGCACTACTGCTACTGGGCGACAAGTCCCTCCACCTCGTCTCCCTCGAATACAAAGCGTTGTCATTAGGGCTGTATTTAGCACAAGGTTGAAGCTAAATTCAGATATAAGGAATAAGGAAAGGAAAACAGGAAACAAAAAACGGATATAAAGATCTTCTACTCAAGAGAAGGCGATAGCCGCTAGATCGAGTACGTAGTTATCGAAATTTGGGGCCTCGGTGATGGGGGGAGGACAGGCATTGCCGATGGGGGAAACCAGCGGTGCTACCGGTAGTGCCGAGCACTATGGCCAGTCGCTGCACCTCCCCCTACCCCCCACAACCCCACATTAGCAGTGTCTAACGGCCAAGGTCCTGCCAATGCTGGCTGGGGGGCCCAACGGGTTATCTCTAGCTGGTAGGACGCCAAGCATGCCCAGGCATGTACCTGAGGCCAATGGCAAATGAGGCCAATTGGAAATGGGAATTGAATCTTCTTTTTTTTCCTTTTTCTCTATACATATAAAGGAAAACGCGGGTCTCGCGTGACGGTCCCTCGTGAGACCCGGTTCCCTTTCACGCGAGACCCGGTTCCCTCGTGAGACTTGCTGTGCCGGGCCCACGGGCGGAGCACCAGCGCTTTGTCGGTTCGTGCAACGTTTGTCCGTTCAAAAACTTTTGTTAGTAGACGGTCGCGACGTCTTTTCAGGAGGCCGGGATGTGGTGTTTCGACGTTCCGGGATGCATCGGGACGTCTTATCAGGAGGGGGGGTGCACGGGCAGTTCAGCGGTGTGGTGTTGGCATCGGGACGTGGTTTCAGAGTCGGGGGGTGTGTGCGGACGTGCATGTATCGGGACGTCTTATCAGGAGGGGGGGTGCACGGGCAGTTCAACGGTGTGGTGTTGGCATCGGGACGTGGTTTCCTAGTCCGGGGGTGTGTGCAGACGTGCATACATCGGCGGGTGTATGTTTCCATGTTCTAACCGAAGATTCATTGGATGTTCCTCATCCTATCGATGGAAGTAGCATGGCGCAAGCCGCGAGGTCGGAGAGTTATCGTTTCTCTCTCTCTCTCTCTCTCTCTCTCTCTCTCTCTCTCTCTCTCTCTCTCTCTCTCTCTCTCTCTCTCTCTC